AGTACAAATGAATATTTTGTATTCCTGCAGTGTTTGGGGGTCTATCACTCAGAGGCTTAGCTTTACATATGGTATGAGTTATGTGTATATAGTCCCAAATATCAAATTTATGCTAAACTCTAATTGAACAGGCTGACCTGGGTGACAAAATAATTCTACAGCAAATTACATTTCTGTAAGACAAATTACATTTCTTTAAGACTCTAATTTTCAGTCCTTCTGGCCAAACAAAAAGACTACAAAAACAATTTTGTTTTGTTTTTAGGTCTGGAAAAAGAATGGTCAACTCCCCATGTTCTGGGTAAGGAGAGAAACAATGGCTGATTTAAAGAATTATTTAAGGCAATGGTTCTCAATCTTGTCTATGCATTGGAATGACTAAGAGATCTAAAAATTCCCAACTCGAGGCCACAGTATTTTTATTTTATTTTATTTTATTTTATTTTATTTTTTAGCTTTCTAGGTAATTCCACTGGTATCCAGTTAAGTTTGAGAACCACTGATTTGGAGTTTCAAAGTAACTATAGTAAAATTCTAGTTTCTAGTAATAGTGGATTTTTCTTTTTTTTCCTTTTTCAGACTAATTCCCTCCGGGTAACAATCATAAACTGTGAATGAACAAAAAGTTAAACAAACAAAAAGCTAGTTGAAGGCTTGAAGAGTAACCAAAAGCAAAAACTGGAGGGTCATCTCCCCCTAAAAGAAGAGAACTTCAAGATGTACAAGTTTTTACCTTTATGGCTGAAGGCAGTTCTCATTCTTCAGAAGGTTACGGGTGGCAGAAAGCTGCAACTTCAGTGGCTTGAGATGTCAAGGATAGAAATGGGGTGGGTAGAGCAGAGCAAAAGTTAAGAAAGTTAGGAGAATAATTCTGGAAAGAGGGGAACTGAAGAAGGAGCAAATCTCAACCTCTGAATAGAAATTTTGTTCAAATCCCTAGTTGGTTTGTGCAGCATGGGAGACGCCAGTGGCCCAACTTAAAGGCAGCAGCTGGAAGCTGAAAACTAATCAGAGACTTCAGCTGTGATTCATTACAGGCTAGTTTGAAGTTTCAGTTCAGGTGAACGAGCTGCTTGAGGACAAAAGTTAACAGTTCAGAGGAATGTAGCTGAATCCATAGTCTTTATTGCTGTACCATCCATATTGTCCAGCATATAATAAAAAATCACTGGACGAGTGAAAAAGAAAAAAGTGACCCCCATACAGAAGTGAAATACAGTCAATGGAAACTGATTCTGATTGGGACATGTTACAATTAGCAAACAAGTATTTAAGGCAGCTATTATAAATGCTTATAAGGATATATATTCATAATTAGTAATGAGCAATCTCAGAAGAGAATTAGGAATGCTAGGCCGGGCGCAGTGGCTCACGCCTGTAATCCCAGCACTTTGGGAGGCCGAGGCGGGCGGATCACAAGGTCAGGACATCGAGACCATGGTGAAACCCCGTCTCTACTAAAAAAGTGGCGGGCGCCTGTAGTCCCAGCTACTCGGGAGGCTGAGGTAGGAGAATGGCGTGAACCCGGGAGGCGGAGCTTGCAGTGAGCCGAGATTGCGCCACTGCACTCCAGCCTGGGCGACAGAGCGAGACTCCGTCTCAAAAAAAAAAAAGAAAAAAAAAAAAAAAAGGAATGCTAAAGAACTAAATGGAAATTTTTTCCATGTGAAAAATACTATAACTATAATGAAAGTCCACTGGATGAGTTCATCAGCAGACTGAAGACAGAAGAGTTAGTGAATTGCAAATAAATTATACAAATTATTCAATCTAAAACAGAAACAAGACTAAAGAAAAAAAAAAAGCTTCAGAGACATGTAGGACAACCTCAAGTGATCTAATGTAAATTTGCTGGAGCTCTAGGAGACAGGAAAGAAAGAAATAAATTGAAAAAATGGCCAAAATTTCCCCAAGTTTGATTTTAAAATAAATAAAAATAAAAACATAGATTTACAGATCCAAAAGCTCAATGAATCCCCAGCTAAATAAGCACAAACAAACCATACATAGGCACATTTTAGTGAAACTGCTAAAATTCAAAAATAAGACAGCCAGAGAAGAACATTATACATATGAGACTAATGATACAAATGACAGCTGATGTCTCATCAGAAACAATGGAGGTCAAAAGACAATAAATGCCTTTATGTGCTGTAAGAAAAAAAGCTATCAACCCAGAATTCCCCATCAGTGAAATGATCCTTCCAAAATTAAAGTGAAATAAAGTCATTTTCCATGAGCTCATTTTCAAAGCGTTTCAATGAGCCTAAACTTGTCACAAGCAGTCCTGGACTACAACTCTCAAAGAAATTATTCAAGCTGAAAACGAAAGACCTTAGATGTCACTCAAATCTATAGGAGACAATGAAGAACATCAGAAATGGTCAATGTTTGGCAAATATAAAAGATACATACATTCTTTTTTCTCTTAATCATTTGAATGATGCTCGTTTTAAGTGAAAATGATAGCATCATACTGTTGTGTTTATCATGTATGTAGCTGTAAATGTATGTGAAAAACGAAGGAAGAGAGGAGAGGGAGGGTGGATGGAACTATACTGTTGCAAGGTTCTGTGTTTTATATGAAGCTGTATCATATTAACCCTAAGTGGATTGCAGTAGGTTAAAGATGTATGTTGTAATATCCTAGAAGAACCATTTTAAAAATATGGTATATAGTTTATAAACCAATAGAAAAAACAGAAAACTGTACTTGTACCTCCTAAATCTATAAAAATAGGCCGGGCTTGGTGGCTCATGCCTGTAATCCCAGCACTTTGAGAGTCTGAGGAGGGCAATTCACTTGAGGTCAGGAGTTCAAGACAAACCTGGGCAACGTGGTGAAATCCCATCTCTACTAAAAATACAAAAAAAGTAGCCGGGCATGGTGGTGCATGCGTGTAATCTCAGCTACTTGGGAGGCTGGGTCACAAGAATCCCTTGAACTCAGGAGGCGGAGGTTGTAGTGAGCAAAGATCATGCCACTGCACTCCAGCCTGGGTGACAGAGCAAGATCCTGTCTCAAAAAAAAAAAAAAAAGAACACTTTTTTAAAAGGAAAAATTAAAACAAAATCAGAGAAAAAGACATTATATATATGAGAATTCTATATATGAGAATAATGATATTCTCATATATAATATCTTCATGATATATAATATGTAATATATGATATAATATATCATATACAACAATAAATGATATATAATACATAATGACATGATATATATGAGAATAAAAACATTCAACCTGAAAGAAGGCAGGAAAAGAGCAGCAAAGAAAAAAGCCAAATGGTAAACTCAATCTAAACATATCAATAATTACAGTAAATGTAAATTGACAAATGTTAAGTAAAAGGCAGAGATCACTAGACTAAATAAAAAAGCCAGACCCAAACTACACGCGATGGGATGAACTTCAAAAACACAAATAGGTGAAAAGTAAACAAATTAAAAAGATATATTGCACCATGGAAATTATAAGCATAAAAATCATTCCTATTTGGCTTTGATATGAACAGCTTTTTATATGTATCTTTTCAATTAAATGTACCTGTTTTTAGATAATGGATTACATTCATTCAACATCAGCTATTATCAACCATGATCTGTAACAACCTTAATAGGGAAAAAATGAAGTAAAACATAGGGAATTTAAGGTGACTTCGTTTTTCTTTTAAATGAGTCATATGGCTCCTTTCCTTCCCCTTCCAGTATGAGTGATGAAACACCATAACAGGGCAAGCCTTTTAGGACTTGCTCTTTTCCCTCACCTATGCTAAAGCAAAATGTTCAGCCTTTGATCTAGCTGTTGGAGCAAGTAATGATTCTTGATCACCTTTGCGTCATTCATTTTTATTAATGTTTATTTTGTTCCTTGTATTTACTTTACTAGTACTTTTTGGGTTTTTGTCTATTTCTGTGACTCTCTGAGGTGGGGCCAGACCACTCTAAGCTGATGTGCCCCACCAAAGTTGCACCCCACAGGCTAGAGCACATTCCCTCACTTCATTTTCTTATACCTCTTGGTAGTCATCAGCAGTTTTCTTCTTTCACTTACAAGAAAAGTCTTTTGAGTTTAGCTCTTTCTACAGTAGGGACTTTCTAAAATAGTTTCAAAATTAGACAAATTTGTGAGTAGGATTTTTCTACATTCTTTAAACAATACTGAAGCTCCGATGCTCCCTCACACTTAGACAATTCATAGCTGGGGCAGGGCTGGAAAGAACATGACTGTAACAACAAAGAAAGCTCGTACTAAGCATGACTACAAAGAATGGTTTTGTGGCATGTGACAAATCTGCTCAACCATACAAGTGAAAGGAGCAACACCAATTCCCTTCTGGCCATCTGGGCTTTATAAGTGATTGTCTATCCCAACCAACTCCACTTGTACATAGCACCATTTTTTCACAAACTGTGACCTTGGAAAATACTCACCTAATAAACTAACCATCCCACCATAGACAGAACCCCACTGTCTATTTCATCATTTTAGACAACATTTTAAGATGTTTTAAAAGGTAGTTTCTCTGCAAATACTATGCTATATTTGAATACAAATGTCTTAACTAAATGTACCACTGAACAAAGGTTAAAGGGTAACATGGAAAAAGGGCAAGAGATTGCTTGGGTTGTTTTCTTCTGTAAGCTTAGCAATAACCGGATGCTTCAAGACCTTTCTTTACAACACGGCCATGTTTTAAACTATGCAGGACAGATCAGTAAGGAATTTAGTGGCTAGCTAAACACTGAAATGATTCATTTCAATTTGCCATGCAGTTTAAGTAAAGCTCTAAGGGCCTGCTATGCCTCCTATCAAGAGTAAATATCACACATCCTGTTTATGCAAACTGGCTTGTTGTCCACAGGTTTTCAAAGAGCTGTTGACACCCCCTAACACTGCACCCTACCCCCTCAGCTTCCTGCTCACTGGGGTGCTATATTCCTCCTCATTTTTAAGAAGCGCCTCCCTCAACAGAAATACTCTGAATTACAACAATTTTTAAAGAAAATACTTTATTGTCATGAAAAAAAGGCATCAATCAACTAGATTCATACTTGTTTGAAAAAAAATTAGACAGTATGTGGGCATCCTGTTCCACATGGGAATGAGAAGATGCTATAGGTTCTCTAAGTATTGCACAGTCTGAAAAAATAACAAAAAAGGGGAAGGGGAGGAAAAAAAAAATCACATGATATTGGGAACCATCTCACATTATGAATAATCTACCAAGAAACATTTAAAAAAGAAAACCCTTTGTTTCTACAGTAGCTTTGAGTTTATAGTTCTTGGAATGACTGTATTCCATTGAAGACATCTCAGTAACAGGAAGCTGTTTTAGCAATCCCATGTGCAAATATTAATAAAAAATATATAAAATAATGCAACTCATCTCTTGCCTTCACCCCGGCAATCATGACATTTCTGAGAACTGTTTTGCTTGAAAATGGGTTAAGCTGTAAGTTTTGCCTGAAGCTCCATCTCTGCAGCCCGTTTGAGTGCAACATCCACTAGAAGCTGAAATCCACTAAAGTCCTGGTTGAGGTCCGGTGGAGTAGGGGGAGGAGTGTTGAAAAGACCACTCTGTGTATTTGTACTTGGTCCAGATTTACACGTGTCCTCTGGGTACATGAGAGAGGTGTCTGTAAAGTTGTTGGCCGCTATCTGCTGTATATCTGTGTTGTGTCCCACACCAACTGACTGGCAGAGAGAGAAAGGGACATCTTTCAATGCAGTCACAGTGGTATGGCAGATCACCGATGGACGAGCCAAAACTGATCCTGGGGATGATGGCTTAGGAGACAGTGGCCTCCCGAGGGTTGGGTTTGGCCCAGCTGTACAAGAATGAAAAGGGGTCTCCTCTAGAGCTGGCATGAAGTTTTTGATGCCCATCACGGACTCCACAGAGCTCGTTTCAGAAATCTTGGCCCCACGGCGGGAAATTGTGAACTGATTTGGATCTTTGCCATCCTTTCTCAGCATGTCAGGGAGGAGCCTGCGGCGGGCGTTGATGAACCAGTTACAGACCTGAAATCATATCGGTACGCTTTAACACTTTACTCATTCACTCAGCCAACGGGTTCTGAGAACGTTCTATGGGGTACCTAATTGATCTTGCACTCTGTATTAAAGAAAGCATGAAAAGGCTGACCTGAACTTACAATGTTATTTCAAGGTATTGGAGCTCCGCCAAGCAAGCAAGCTATCTCCTATCATAAACCTAGTTTCTAATACAAATTTCCTTCTTTGTCTCTTCATACTTAAACCTTTTCAGGATGAAGAAAAAGATATAAAATCTCAAATGCTTAAAAATGATTTGAGAGAGAGGTTTACCTTTTAACTCTCCCCATTTTAACCTATCACCTACTGCTCCAACATTTAAGTTAATCAACTACAGGAACACCTCTCCTTATGAAAAGGGCCACTCCTCCCAGTAACTGATTTTTCCCAGTTCAAATGACTATGTCAACAGACAGAACATGAATAACCTCACTGAAGTCGTCCTTGTTTAAATATCAAACCAGTTTCCTGGGCAATAGAGTAAGGTTTAACCTCCTTTTAATGTCTGTTGCATAAAGGAAGGTTCTTTTAGGCATTAAAGGAAATGTTATCTGACAGATGACTGTCAAGTGTTTCTGTGTTCTCTAAATAGCTAGTTATTAGCTTTTAACACTATCAAGTTTACAATAAAAAGATATTCCTTCTGTCTTTGAGTGGAAAGGAGCTTAATGACTTGACACACAGGAATGCCATAAAATGACTTTAAAAATAAAAATGCATCTGTAAACCTCATGCTCTCTTTCTTTACCTGTAGTGTAGACAGGTGTGTTTGCTGGGACAGCAATGCTTTCTCTTGCTCGGAAGGATAGGCATTGTAACGATGCTCATACAGCCAATCCCGAAGAATCTGCACAGACTCCTTAGGTAGGTTGCCCCTTCTCCTTCTCTTGCCTGAGCCAGCAGATGAAGAAAGGTCCAAGGGAATGTCCATGCTGTCCTCATCCTCAGTCTCACTGCCAGATGCTGCAACAATACCTAGGAAAGGACAAAGGCCAGTTGTCAATTGCTTTATAAGCACAGCAACTACTGCAAAGCTCACTTAGGCTGACCATTCAGGGTAACCATGCTTTCCCAACAACTGAGAGCGAGGGGAAGGAGCAGTGTTTTCTGTCCTGAATTCAGGGTACAAGTAAAAGTAATTTGACTAGCACCACATGGGAGGTTCTCAACCAAACGCGAGATGCCTTTTCTCAGCCGCTTTCCTCTAGGATTCATTAACTTCTCACATTCCTTTTGAATGATGCTCAGAAAACTCTTTTGTCTAATCATTGGAGGAGACAAACTGCACCCAAATGAATAACCTGCCACATTTAAAACAGGAAGGGTGCTGTGGCAGTTGGAATGTGCCTACCAACCTTCCTTCTAAGATCAGTGCTAACTAGGAAAAGCAACCTAATCAGTATCCTAATGTACATTTAAAATGTTACTCTTCCTCCTTCTTCTACTGAAGGTTTGAAATAAAAGGGGGCACTTGCACATTGTTTTCCACGGATACAAGGAAGGAAAATTACATACTACACTGAACCCAGTTAGTATTCTAAAGGTAAAATACATGTTAAAATTTTCTGCTAACACCATGCATGGTCATTGCTTATTCATTGCTACCTACATTTATTCAAAGTTAGACATCTACATTAAATGGGCAGTACCAGTCACCTTTTATTAAATACAACTACTGATGTTTTCAGTTTCATCACACAAAAATATTTTTCTACTACTGGTACTTTGGTAAGGTCAAAAGATGCCTAATACTAAATGAATTAAAAATGTCTCCTAAATTTCAGTTACCAGTTTGATCTCAATCTAGAATAGAATACTACATATCAATAAGCAGAGTTTAGTCTTAAATGATTACATGACAAAGGAAACTGAATATGCAAGCCCCAGAGGAAGCTCTTTTGGCTGTAAGTACTTTAATCCTGCCAGAAATTTTAAGAATTCACAAGCCATAGAAAATATTTAAATCACAGATGGACTGGATTCAATAAAGCTTCAGACCTGGCCTTTACAGATATTTAAACATCATTCTGAACTTAAAAAAAAATTAAATAACAAACACTATTAACTCCACCTTCCAAAAACTACAGCAGGCTACTCCGAATGACTAAAGAAATACATTCTTTTGCTTGTAGACAACCTAGAATCTTAAAAACAGAAATGAATTACAAACAATGGCATGCTTGAAAAAAATCAGCACTTCTATATTAGGGGAAGTAATTACAATAACAAAAAATGTAAAGGTATGCATTTTTAGCTTTGTATGCTTTCTTTCCTCTGTAGTATGTAATTTTGGTTGAAAATATGACTTGACCTTAATTGAGCCAGTTCACCTTGACAGGAAATAAAAACGGAATATTCCTCTTAAGCTAAACACCATTTCTTTTTTAAAGGAATTTTTCCCACCCGTGTAATTGACTCTGACTTGGTGACACATTTTTCGTTTTGGACTGCAGGGGGCAGAAGGTGCTGCAGGGTAGTCCTACAAAAGGCAGAACTCTCCAGACAAAGTAAAGCAAGTTCTAACAAAGAGGTGGATGATCTTGCAAATTCACTTTAGCTCGCGGCTTAATAAACAGCTACAAATAAACCACACAAGAATCCTAAGTTTTAACTGCTGTGTATTTGAAATTTCCCTCCTCTGATGATTTAAGTTTTTGAAGTTTTTAAAAACTGCCCATTTAAAACTGAAACTACTTTCACTATTGACGAGCCTTTCAAACCCATATTGAAATTTGGGTGAAAAACTATTAATGAAAAAGCTTAAAGATATTACAGCTGGGTTCCTGTCTCACATTGGCTTTGATAATTAAAGAAATCGAACTTTTAAAAAAACGTGTCAAGTTAATTAAATGACTAAAGCAACCCTGAATACAGCAATTTGTTTAAACTCTCCAACATCTGAAAAGCCAGACATTCTTCTCAAGGCTATTATCTCCCTCCGTTTTTTAATCTAGAAAAAGTGTGAAAATTTGCTCATTGAACAGTGAATTCCCAACTGTAAGTTGGTAATCACAGAGTTTGAAACAAAAAAAGGCCCTGAAGCCTGCCCTTTGATCTGCTTGCCTAGTTTGACAAGAAGGCTGATCTTTCAGAATAGGTTAGTGACACACAAAAGCAGGTTTCAGTTAAGCAACCCCAAAGTGCAGCGCGACTTTTCAGTTCATTTAAATAAATGAATGCCAGGCCTCTGGAACTCTTAACAAATATTTCCAATATGTGCACAAAAGCTGAAGTAACAGGAAGTTAAAACTTCAGTTCCTTGGCTACGCCAGCTGATATTTCACTGCAGTAAAACCACGTTTGCTGCTGTCAGGACTGTTTTCATTAAAACTCTCCCTCCTGGTTGTGGCTCAGCTTGGAAAAACAAAGACTTTTTTCCTCCTTACTCATTTCCTATTGTAACAGCGCTTTTGAAAAGTTTCCCGGTGAAGACTTGTTTCCAAACGTGTTGCTTTGCTTACACTTTAAAAAATGTGGCGGTGGGGGGGGGGGGGGGGGGGCAGAATCACAAGTTTCGTTCACTCTATCCACATACAAGGAAATGTTGTGTGGAAAGCCACAACATGGCCTGAGGATCCCACCGCTCTAAGCAGCGACCAACTTGTTCCTGCACTTTCTTTTTTCTTTTCTTTTGAGACGGACTTTCGCTCTTGTTGCCCAGACTGGAGTGCAAATGCCACAACCTCCGCCTCCCAGGTTCAAGCGATTCTCTTGCCTCAGCCTCCCGAATAGCTGGGTTACAGGAATGAACCACCACGCCCGGCTAATTTTGTGTTTTTAGTAGAGACGGGGTTTCTCCATGTTGGTCAGGCTGGTCTCGAACTCCTGACCTCAGGTGATCTGCTCGCCTAGGCCTCCCTAAGTGCTGGGATTACAGGCATGAACCACCGCGCCCGGCCCTGCACTTTCTTTTCTGAGTAGGTCGGTAACATCATGATGAGACAGGGAGGCCGGGAGACACTGGTTGTGAAGAGACTCGAGAAATAAGATCGATGGGAAAAGTCGAGGTGCACAGTTAGGAAAAAGCAAATTTAACCCAGCAAATTTCCTGACCAGAAGTTCTCTTTTGGGCCGGAGCAATATCTCTTGCCTGTAATCCCAGAACTTTGGGAGGCCAAGGCGAGAGGATTTCTTTAGCCCAGGAGTTCAAGGTCAGCCTGGGCAACATAGCCGGACCCCGTCTCCAGGATAAAAAGAAAAAAAAAAATCAGTATCTCCTTGGGAGAAGCAACAGGAATCGAACACCCAAGCCACCAAATCCAAGGTGTGGTTGGCGACCCCAGCCAAAGAGCAATCCCAAAGCAGGAATTCAACAGTTAAAAACTGGGAGCAAAAAGACTCAGTGGATTTTCCTTATCGATCCTTCTGATTGTTAAGCCATTTTAGGAGGTCTTTGGCGTCACTCTCGGCTTTCTGGGAGGACACACTATTATCACAAACCAGTCTCACCAAACCACGGGCTCAAGAATGGAGCTGAAAGTGCACTTGTTTCAAGAGAACTTGAAAAGACTGCGGACTTTTACACGACGGACAGTAAGGCGGGCCCGACTTCCTCAGGAGTCTTTCCAGAGCCGACGAGGAAGGCTCCCCCCCTCCCAGGTAGTTTTAGAAGGAGGACTGCGGAGGAGCACGGGGAGAGGGAGGGGCCCAAGGAGCTTTTGTTCTTCAGAGTTCCTCAGCCTCAAGTGAAACAGGCCGGCCCGCATACTGCACGAGTTAGCACAAGCAAAGGAACTCCAGGTCCCAATAAACTAGAAATGAGGCCGTGAATCCCATGTTCTCAGGGTCCTGCCCACCCCAGACTACTAGCCAGGGAAACCTAAAAAGGGAAAGAAACCCGGGTAACCTCGGCAGCCTCGGCTCCCCCGACGAGCCCTGAACCAGTCGCAAAGTTTCCCCTTCAGCCCGTCACCTTTCATTGTTTCCATGAGTCGGCGCCGAGGAGCTGGACCCTATGCGCCCTGGGATGGGGACCGCGGAAGTTCCCACCGATGCGGCCGGCGGGGCCCAGCCTTGGTCCCCAGCTCCGGGCAGAGGGCACGCGGCTGTGGGAGGCGCGCCGCGGGAGGGGCAGGAGGACCCCGAGAGTGCAAAGGGGGTCGCCAGAGAGGACCAGGGCGTTGGGGGAAGGTAGGCGAAAGTGCCGCGGGAGAGTCAGGGGGACTGAAGATTCCCGAGGTGGGGGGGCGGGCCGTGGAAAGTAATCAGAGCCGCCCCCGCCAGAGCCCGAACAATGCGGGGAGCCCACCCCGGCGGAAGTCCGGCTCTGCGCTAGAATCATCCTTGAAACAGAGCCCTCACTTACTCCGGGGAGGCCCACCACAACAGACAGCGCGTCTCCCTAGACCTGTCAGTCCCCTCAAGGGTCGGCACGGCTTTCACTGGGCGTCTCGTCTCGGACGCTCCCCGCGCGTTTTCTCCCAGAGCCAATTCCCCGTCCCGAGTCCGCCCTCCGTATCGCGGGGAGGGGGTCCTGAGGGCGTTCTACCGCCAACGACTACCAGTTGATCCGAGTTTCACGTTTAATTTCACTCTCGCTGGAAAAGCCTGGCGGCAGAGGGAAGCTCCGCGCGTTTCAGGGCCTCCCACAGAAACGCAGCCGAAGGAACCCCGCTGGCCTTGCGGCTACCCCCCAGGAACGCCCCCCAGCGGGCTGCGTCTGAAAGAATGCGGAGTTCTAAACTCCAGGAGGCTCCCGAGCATGCGCAGTAGCGCCGCCCCGCCCGTCCGCTTCCCGAGCGATTAACTTCTGTTTTGAACCTCTCCACATAAATCACAACAGAAACGCCACCTCCAGCCCACGGCGGAACACTCGGGGGACCTCCCAACCAGGGACTCAAAAGTTAACTTCAAAAGGGACTTCACAGTCTTTGACCTTTCGGGGTGTTGTGTGTGCTTTCTTCCCCCCCAGCCTCCCCCCTCCGGTATATTTTGTTTTTAAACCAAACTGACGGCAAGTTTTAGTTGTAAAGCTTCCAGAACGCTTCGTGGAAACAATGACAGCCTTGCTCTTTGCACTTACAACCAAGCCTGCTTGTCACATTTGGACACATTTTGACTGCATGCCGCTTGAAGCTGCTGGCCCTGGGTCCTAACTCTTCCTCCTGCCCCAAAATTCATCGTGGGAAAACTTTTAGAGACTGGGAATTTGTAAAAGTCTGGCTTTCCAGAGATGTTTACACCCGAGGGCGATGAGGGGGTCCAGAATCGCATTCCTTCGATCGTAAAAACACCACATCCCTAAAGAACACTAATAGGGCCCGGCTGGGAGTAGGGGGGCGGCGGGGGCGGCGGGGGCGGGGGGGCCTAGGAGTGGAACTTTCAGACAAAGGCGCCGCGGTCCAGCGGCCCCGGCCGCCTCGGGTCCGGATCGGGAAAAACGAGGTGGTGGGTCCTCCCTACTCGGACCCCATATCCCCAGCACGCGAGAAAGAGCGAGAAGCCACGCGGCGGCTGGGCCGAGCGTGGGGTGTCGGCGGAGACAATGAAACTTGCAGGCGCACAAACAAGGCACTGAGCGTGTTTCTTGACAACGTGCCAACAGCGTGGAGAGGCTCGCCCCACAACAGCCCCTCGTGTTGTGTCTAGCAGGAAAACAGCCGCTGCCGTTTCAGACGCAGCCTCAACAAAGAGCACGGCCGCCGCTCCAGCATGAGAGCCCCTGGGCGGAAAAGTCCACCAAGTGACTCCGCGCGGCGCGGCGCGGCCGGGCCAGCACGTTTCCCCGGACTCGCGTCTCCCGGTGCGCGCAGCCCGCGGCCGCCTTACCTTTCTTGCCTTTCATTCTGGATCTCCCCTCCCAGCGCGAGGCAAGGCTGGGGTCTGGAGGGTCCAGGAGCGGGAACACAGGGGACAAGCGAACGTCTCCTTCACAGCCGACTCTCCCGTAACTTGTAGGACGTGCTCCAGCCGTTATTGCTAAACAGGGCGCTCTGATCCCAGGCGTCCGCTCCTTGGGTGGAATTCAAGTGACACTTGGGCTTCCTCCCGCCGGGATCTTCTGGCAGCCGGCCGGGGGCTCTCCCTCGCCCAACTCTCTCCCCTCCCCTCTCTGCTCCTTTGTTCCCTGCTCCTGCTCGGCGCACCTCGGCGCTGTCAGAGTGAGAGAGGCGAGGAGGGAAGGTACAGGAGGTCCTGCCTCCGCCCCCAGCCGCCCGCCCCGTCCCCCTCCCGCCCCGCCGCTCCTCCGCCCCTCCCCCGCACCTTCCAGCCAGGAGGACTGGACCGAGCGCAGCGGCCGCTGTCACTCGTCCCTTGGGGGCGGCGGTGCGGACGCGGGGGGCGGCCGGGTCCAGAAACGCGTTCCTTTCTGCTTGCCGCGCACTGACTGCGCGCATCCCTCGCCCGCCGGTGGGGGAACCAGCCGAGCGCCCCAGGTTTCTCCCTTGGGCCTTTCTTCCCGGGGCTGGCGAGGGTGCGTTTGGTTAGTAAACTGCAATAGATGGAAAAAAGGACACCTCCCTTCTTCCCTCCTCCACCCCAGGGAAGAAAAGCCTCCCTGTCTCGTTTTTGACAGCTGCCCCGAACTCCACTGTCCCTGCTCTAGCCGCACACGACAGCCGCCGCTGATTCAAGGGGCGGGGTACGGGAGGAAAAGTATTCGAGACAAGAACCAACTTCTTCCAGAATGCGCGGCTGCCATTGACACGCGGGCGCGGCGCGGCGCACCCTTCTCCTCCCGGGGCTCTTCCTCCAGCAGCAACAGTGGGAGGTCGGCGGGGGTGGTGGGGGGGAATGATGAGACACAGCCTCAGCGAACGTCTGTTCCCCTGGGCTAAAGCTGCGAGTTCCGGACTGGATTGCAAGGCAGTTTCGAAATCTGACACGTTGCGGACAGACACTTGTCATGCTCACATGCTCTTTAAACGTCTCTGCCTGGTGGGGACGGCAGGGCGCGCACTCGCCTCGCCGAGACTCCGCCTGACACCCCGAGTCGCCGGACCCCGGCAGCGGCCACTTTTATAGCTAAGGGGTGACCACGCTGTGGCTGCTCATCTGTTTCGGTCAAGAGTGTCTGCTTTTAGGACTGGAACCCTCGTAGGGGATCCCTCCTCCCCTCCGGTATTTCAAACAGAAACTAGCCATTAAGTAAACACCCGTTCCTGTTGACTTATTTTGGTCCATATTAGGAGGGATCCAGCGGGAGTTTCTTGATGAAATTGCCCTTTCAAAGACCAGATGCTGTTTGGCTGACTTTAAAGAAACGCATGCCCCTTCCTCTGGTTCTAGTTTTCGCGTGGTTACGTCCTGTTGTTTTGAAGCAAACGAACTGTCACATGCCACACAATGAGACTTCCCCCATCACTTTAAAAAAAAGAAAGAAAAACCCCAAACAAATAAGCCCAGCAGAGGCAGCGCCCGGGTCTGCCTCCAGCCTGGGCTCTGCTGTTTTTGTTCGGTAACCTCGGTAGAGATCCCGGCAGAAGAAACTCTGTGGAAATAAGATTAAACCCGAGGAGTACTAAGACGGCCAAGGGATAACTAACTCCACTTTGGAGAGTCTGTTTTAGGATTACCCCGAAAATTAGAGCCAGCCTGCCACCCTCCCTCAACAAAAAAAAAAAAAAAAAAAAAAAGACACCCCCGCTCCGAGAGTGCGTGGAGGTCAGAGTTTAAAAAGCCTGGGTGTTTTTTCCAATTACAGGACTTAAAATGAATCAACAGGGGAAAAAAGCGTCTCTCTAAGAAGGCAGCGACCTTACGATTTTTTTCTTCTGTGGTTTGCTGACTGCTCGGCACAGAAGAGAACACACATCTAAAACGGCTCGGGGGGAACGTGGTCCTGGGGAGAAGCCACCCGCCCGGACGCTGCCCTGCAACTGCCGGGAGCACAGTTCCTTCCCGGACCTGGCTGCAGATGAATCAGCTGCTGCGCCCGGTGCGGGACAGATGTGGCGCGGGGAGGGAGCCAGCGCCCCCGCCGCCCGTTAGAGGGCCGCCTCGCTATTTCATTTGAAGGGTTGTTTGTGGCTGGGATTGGTGGCTCATATCCGCTGGGGAGCCGGGAGCGGAGGGAGGAGAGACGCAGGGAGGAGGAGCCGGGGGCCGGGCGACGCTGCGACTCCGCGGCCTGAGTGGCAGGAGCCTCGTCTGGAACCGGGCGGTTACTGGGGAGACGCTTTGTTTGCTAACTTCGAAAGCGGCTTCGGCTGCCTCGGCAGCTTTCGAAGCCACTCCACAAAACACGCCTTCGGTCGGTTTAACCCTGCCTCCCTTCCCCGCCCGCTTTGGGCAGCTCGAGAGAAAACTCTTTCCCTCTTCCCCGTGGTTCTCTTTGGCCACGCGGTGGCTCTTATTATGTACACAAAGGTAGCTTTGCTTTCGTCCAAGTGGACTTGGCTAATAATGACTGCGATTCTCAGGCAACCGAGATGAAAACCGAGAATTGCAGAGGGCTTATAGCTTGAAAACAAACTTTCCCGGGGAAGGGGGGAGGAGCGGAGACAATTAAAAGCCTCTTTCAAATTATGGGGAGGAAAAAATGGAGATGTGAACTCACCTTGGCTAGAAGTCAGGCTTGATCGGGCCAATGCACACCTTTTGCCCGAGCAAATCATATCGAAACAGTTATTAAAGCTGGCGAGGCACTCCAAAGAGAAACACTGGCACAATTCTGTGATGTAGCGAAAGCTCATAGCCCACCCGCCCCCGTAGATGCACCCCCACTGCCTCCCACCCCCCAACACTGATCCCAAACTTGTTTGGAGTTTTGAATTCTTGGTGCATTCTGGGAAGAAAGTGCTTCGGGTCAGTGCAACATAACAAAGGAAACAGCCTCAAAAAAGTGGGATTCAGATACCAGCAATTGCTTAGGGTATTTGTTGACTCGTTTTCTTGAGGTGGAAAAGCAAGTTTCAGTTCTAGCTCTGTTAGTCCCTTCCAGTCTCAGGGCCTTGCTATAAAACGGATTCAATGACTTTTAAGATTCTTTCCAGTGTTTTTTTTTTTTAAAAAAGGGTATGGATTCAAATTTGCTACATATTATTTGCTGATTCATATGAATGTTAATTGAATTGGGAAATTGCTTGAGTAAAATTGAGGCATTGCTTGGTGCCGGTGGAGGCTGCTGATAAACGTTTTTCACCATTATTTTTTTTCTCTCCAGACACACATAGTTCCTTTTGGTGTCTTCTAAAGTTGCCTCAAGGCCAAGCAAAGAAAGTTATTAAAAAGTTAAGTTACTTTTCACAGCCTGCAAACCCTTCAAAGGCAAGAACTCAAATAACCAGAAAAGTGTACTAATAAATGCACTTAATATGATTATTTTTTGATGCCAGGTCCACCAGGTGAAGATTGGAGGATGTGTTTGTTTCTTCTACTCAACAACAATTGATGAAGCATGATTTCCATCAAGGACTGTGTTCTATTGTGGAGAAAGGGTGACTTACCCAGTCATTGGATCTCTTTTACTTCCAGTCTCAGGAAGGCAGATATCTTTATAAAATATGCAGACAGCTAGGCTCTAAACACTGGACAAGAGGTCTGTAATCATCCAGTCACATCTCAGGTCAGAGGGTCTTGGACTGCTTAAGAAAGAGCTGACCATTGTCTCAAGAGCCTGGGGCTGGCTTAGAGCCATCTTGAGGTGATTTTATCAGCCCCATCAGGATAATTCTCCTCATCTTCCTTGCATGAATAATGTAACTGGTGCTACTACTTTTGTTTTTAGTCACTTTTCCTAGCCTGCACTTCCCTTCCCAGCCATCCTTTCTCCTCTGTAGCCAAGTCATCACTTCTCTTTACCTAAACGAGTTTTGGAATCCAAGGGATAAAACAGAAAGGCTGGGCGCTGTGGTTCACGCCTGTAATTCCAGCACTTTGGGAGGCTGAGGTGGGTGGATCACCTGAGGTCAGGAGTTTGAGACCAGCCTGACCAATATGGTGAAACCCCATCTCTACTAAAACTACAAAAATTAGCTGGGCGTGGTGGTGTGCGACCGTAGTCCCAGCTACTTAGGAGGCTGAGACAGGAGGATTCTTTGAACCTGGGAGACTGAGGTTGCAGTAAGCTGAGATCGCACCATTGTACTCCAGCCTGGGTGACAGAGCAAGACTGTCTCAAAAACAAAAATAAAAACAAAAAACGGAAAGATAATTCCTTTAGCACAGGCTTCATTCTCCTTATTCTCAACATCTTGTGTCTACATTATTCTTTATAATTTATGAAACACTTATTTAATCTCATTTAATGCCCAAACTAGTGATGCTATTTTTTTTTAAAGTCAGGATCACTTAACACATCCAAATACAACAAAGTTAAAAGGCATAAAACTGGGTACCAAACATAAATTATCTGATTATAAATCAAGTGGTCTCTGGGAAATCCTGTCATTTCAGAAGGTCAGATGGATGTGGAGGGCAGAAACTGACCTCAGATTATGCCAGGGACACCAGGGCCTCCTGAACACTGGGGGGTTGTGCTCTGAAACCTCCTGCCTCCAGTTCTACAAGAAGCTCTCTTCCAGTCTACTTTTTAAAATTGCTTTTCTTCTCATTTTTTAACTACAAGAAAAGCTCTCAAAAATTCAAGCAAGAAAGAATATACTAAGTGAGACATGGCCGACCTGGTAACTGCCCCTTGCATTCTTCATTTAGGCATTTGTATATTATGCACAGATGTAATGGGATTTCCATTGTTGTTTGTTCCCAAGTCCGGGATGCTCCTTCACTGCTTGTTGCTCGTCTGACAGTTTCTCACCAGTCAAGGCTAGGCTTAAATGTTACTTCTTAGAGGAGTCTTTGCTGATTACTTGACCTAAATTAGGTAGCCCCAGTGCCATCGTGTAGCTCGGAGGTTCTCAATCATAGCCCTATTGACATTTGGGGCTGGGTCATTCTTTCTTGTGGGGCTGTCCTGCACATTGTAGGATATTTAGCAACATCCCTGGACACTAACCAGTGTGTGCCAGTAGCATCCTTCCCCCAAGTTGTGACAAACACAGATGTCTCCACATGTTGGCAGATGTTCCATGGGGACAGAAATGGCAGACAGGGATCACCCCTGGTTCAGAACCACAGATCTAGCTCCATCCTTTATTTCTTCCATAACATCACAGTTTTCAATTATTTTGCTTATTTGACTGTTGGCTTGTTTTTTTCCCTCTGACGTCTCATGCAAACGTATGTTCATTATTAAATCTTTTTTAAATTTTTTTTTTTTCATTAAAAAAAATTTTCATTATTAAATCTTTATGCACTTAAGTGAACTGAGATCACACCACTGCACTCAAGCCTGGGTGACAGAGCGAGACTCTGTCTCAAAAACAACAACAAAAAACAAAAACAAACAAAACCTTTATGCACTTAACACAGTGCCTAACACATCATAGGTACCCAATATTTATCAAATGAATAATGCATGAAAGTGAGACTATATGGGAGCTAAATGATAAGAACTTATGAACACAAAGAAGGAAACAGCAGACACTGGGGTTTACTTGAGTGGGGAGGGTGGGAGGGAGGGAGAGGAGGAGAAATTTTGGGTACTGGACTTAATATCTGGATGATGAAATAATATGTACAACAAACCCTGACATGTTTTCTTATGTAACAAACCTTCACATGTACCACCAAATGTAAATTCTAAGTTAAAAAACATTTTTTTAAAGACATTTTTAAAAATTTTTTTAAAAAATAAAAAAAAGGGGCTGGGTACAGTGGCTCACACTTGTAATCCCAGCACTTTGGGAGGCCAAGGCGGGCGGATCACAAGGTCAGGAGATGAGGCCAAGGCGGGCGGATCACAAGGTCAGGAGATTGAGACCATCCTGGCTAACATGGTGAAACCCCGTCTCTACTAAAAATACAAAATTAGGCCGGGCGCGGTGGCTCAAGCCTGTGGTCCCAGCACTTTGGGAGGCCGAGAGACGGCGGATCACAGGTCAGGAGATCGAGACCATCCTGGCTAACATGGTGAAACCCCGTCTCTACTAAAAATACAAAAAACCAGCCGGGCGAGGTGGCAGGCGCCTGTGGTCCCAGCTACTCGGGAGGCTGAGGCAGGAGAATGCGTGAACCTGGGAGGCGGAGTTTGCAGTGAGCTGAGATCCGGCCACTGCACTCCAGCCTGGGCGAATAGATGACTCCGTCTCAAAAAAAAACCTGGCTAACATGGTGAAACCCCGTCTCTACTAAAAATACAAAAAATTAGCCAGGCGCGGTGGTGGGCGCCTGTAGTCCCAGCTACTGGGGAGGCTGAGGCAGGAGAATGGCGTGAACCCAGGAGGCGGAGCTTGCAGTGAGCCAAGATCACGTCACTGCACTCCAGCCTGGGCGACAGAGTGAGACTCTATCTCAAAAAAAAAAAAAAAAAAAGTACTTATTATTATTATTTTCATATTATATTGGCTGGGCTTGGTAGTATACACCTGTAGTGCATAGAGTTAGAGCCTGCAAAGCCTGGAAGTTCAAGGCTGCAGTGAGCTATATTGCACCACTGTTCTCCAGTCTGGGAGACAGAGCGAAACCCCATCTGAAAAACAAACAAACAAACAAACAAAAAAAACCCGCATTATTATCCCCATCTTACAGATGAAGAAGTTGAAGTCCGTGGGACTTAATT